CCGCGCGCAGTGTCAAGTCACGTCTCTACAAATGCCTAACACGCGCAACAGATTGTGTTCTTGAACACACATTAGTGGCACGCGAAATTTTGTATTGCTATGATTTGCTTCGGCTGACGCCATGATTGATCAATCCTTGCCTCGACATGGTAATGCTCTTGGCACAGTTACGTCCTCCGATGGAGGCCATTCCCCAGCAGGATCGTCCGGGTAAGTACGAAGCGACGTAGACCGCGCGGGAGCGAAACCCACGCGGCCTTCTCCGGCCCAGCTCCGGTCGCGCACCGGCGCCTTTTCGCCCGCCCTCTCCGGCCCCGCCCGTTACTCGTGTGACAGCACCGCTGCGTGCCGGCCCTCGCCCCAGAACGCTCCCTCTTCACGTGAATCAAGGACTGAGCATAGCGGTGCCAGTAAGCTGCGTTGTGGTTACAGCTAAGGTCAAACCACAGCGGTGGGCAGGTAGTGTGGTACCTTGTGAAAAGTGTCCAGGCGAACACCGCAGCACGGCTGTCGCCTGTGGCCGGCCAGTATCGTGTTGCCAATTGAGAGCGTATCTGTAGCGCCCGTGAATGGTTTGCAATAGGCAGAGAGGTACTGCTCGGCGTCGGCATGCGTGCCGGAAAGCGCTAGTTGATGAGCGCGGTCGACGGCGCGAGGGAGCGGTGGCCCGCCGTCCAGCCCGCAGCTCGCCCCCGCCAAAACCGACGGATCGCTAGTGCGTGTTGATGTGGTCAGTCGCACTACCGTTCGTTTTTTTTTTTTTGTCATTAATCTCTGCACTAAGCTCTGTGTTGCCCTGCTGCGTTCCAGTTAGCGCTGCAGGCCGCCGGCCATCTCGCCACACGAAGAAGTCCCGCACCTAGCGCGCGACGTGCAGATTTCGGGCCACACGCTCAGCGGAGTTCTCGAAATTCGACTCTTCATGTAAGAGCGGCGAGATGCACCAGATTCGTAACTACTGAGAGCATTGAACAGCACGATGTGCTACTACTAGTCCAGCGCGTTGTATGGCAAGATTAAAAGTCTTTGTGAATGATATATATTACGATGAAAGTGAAACGCAAGTTTACACTCACTACCTATTACCACACTTTTAACCATACGTGGCCTGAAAAGAAGATAGCGGTGGTGAAATACTATTATGAAAAGTAAATGTTTTTTAATACTCGTTTATTTACTCATTTATATTGACAGATCTATTAATGAGGAGGCAATACTTCATAATAGCTTAGCCGATGTTAACAGGCGGAAAAGCTATTTTTCCAACCATTATACTAGACAAAAGACTTATTTGGAAACATTATTAAAAATGTCAGTGCTTCTTCACTGCTGTACGGAACGTACCAATTTAATCCCGAGTGATAGTCTGAATAATAGGCATAGTTATATTTGAAGTTGTGAGAGAAGGTACCTTCAAAGATTACATGATGTTTTGTTTATGATAGCCCATTTTAAGTTTATTATAAGTGTTCTTTTCATGGTTTACAATACTGCTAATGGATCTTAAAACGCGACTGCCCAGTGAGCTTGCGCAGATACCAGGGACAACAGTGGTACTGCTATCACCTGAAAATCAGATCAGAAGATCAATCAACTAAAGACCAAATTGGGCGATAAGAAGAGGAGCTATTCGCCGGACTTGAGTCGTGAGCTCGGCGCCTTTGCTTATCGGTGCATCCCTACATTTGAACTCGGTATGTTTGTGTCCTGTAAGCCGAGGGAGTGCTTCCCACCCGCGCGGCCGGAGATGAATGCAGAGTGCCGCCGCGCACGCCGGGCCCCTCCAGGACTCTCGGCTCGTGACGGCCCTTGGCTCAATGCCTCCGGACGACGGATCCCCGGCGTCCGAGTCTGGAAGTGAGAGCGTGGCTCTGGTCCCGTGCTTGTTTGCTTTATCTGTCTGCTTCGATTAATGGCAAGTGACTTCACTCCGCCCCCCAAAGAAAAAGGAGCAGTGCGTCGCATCTTGGTTTAGCGTAAAGCCGCTTTTTAAGTAAACCGATGAATGAGGACAAATTCCTGTTGTGTCCGGCGCGAGCGCGCGAGGCGACGTGAGGCGAGGCGAGCGCCCGCGATAGAGAGACTGAGAGGCTCGATGGCGAGATGGCGCGTGGCGAGCGTTAACAAGGGAGAGTGAGGCGAGGTGAGGTGAAGTGAGACCGTCTCTCTGGGGTGTAAAGAGCCGAGGATAAGGATCGCGTGGCGCGCAGTCCGAGCGAGGAGAGACGGAGGCGGCGGGTCGGAGGGAGCTAGCCGGGGGAGCGAGCAGAGGACAAGCCCGTCTCACTTTCGGGGCAAAAGAACGACACGAAGTAAGGAGACAAACTTGTTGCACCAACTACATGCTAAAAGTAAACATCATGTGCGGTGATATAAAAAACTGGCACCTGACACGTTCATCTGTAGGAAGGTCTTCGCTTCTCTGGATATTAACGCAACCACAACACGAGCGTATTTAGCATGATAATATAACGCATTCTAGATTGATATTTATGTGTACACTGGCAAGGTGCTGTCAGATGCTCTCACTGATATTACTCTTTGTAGTGGTTTGAAACGTCGTGGGTGTTAAAAGCTGCTATATTATTAAGAAGAAAATCGAAAATATCTGCGAATTATCTCACACGAACGAGGACATGTAGATAGGCGCAGTATTAGTAGTATTAACTTAGAGTTAACATCTGCGCCTTAACTGCAACGCTAAACGCAGCTCTAGAGTGTTAATGGTATGCACGACAGGTCAGAGTTTGTTTTGCGCCTCTCATTACATACGCGTACGGGCTCGAGAGTGGCGAGTGGACTCTGAAGAGTTGCTCATCCATACTCGCGCTAAGCTCGCCTAAAACACAGCGGGGCGGGGCCGGGCGAGGGGCCGCGGCGAGGGCGAATAGGGAGCGCGGACGAAGCAGCGAAACAATTGTCGGCGGCGCGGAACCACCTTCGGGGAGTCCCAGTTCGCCGGGCGGCGGGCCGCCGCCCGCGTCGCAGGATCTCTCTGGATCTCTCCGTCGTCGCGACGGCTTCACCCCGCCGCCACCGCCGCCGCCACCGTCGCTGCTCGCCAGCTGAGGAGCTGCGGAGACGCGGGCTGCTGCAGCAGCCGTGTCTCGACATTGTCTTCACAGCCCTCTCGACAGCCTAAGGAATGCCAGGTGCCTCAGCGAAGGAGCTGAGATCTCAATGTACCCGAAGAAGCCCGAACGGTTTTCTTTGAGCAACTTTCGGCAAAGGGCATTTCAATTTCTTCGTGCCAGCAAGCTCCTCTAGAGCTGTCCATTGTCCTCGAGAATTCCGAAGAACTTTTTTTCATTATCACGTTTTCCGAAGCAATCCTCTTAAGGAGCAGTGTAACTGAATTCAAGAAAACATTTCTTAACTTTAGACAAACGAGTTAATATGAGCAAATGCAAAGTTTGGGGAGCTAAAGGATCATAATGTAAACGGGGGTTTGGCGATACTGGAATGAAATGATAGGCAGCGAGACAAAAACTCGATAATTTTGGTAAAGTTCAAATTCTGAGCAATTATGCAATTGCTTTGGGGGAGATTTGGTATTTTATAATGTTCTTAAATGTTCTTAAATAATATTCTTACCTGGGACTTAATACTGGGACGTAATTTAACGAAATATATGTGTTATCGTTCTTTGAGTTTTTGAGTCTATAAATTTACTCGAACTCTAGTACAGAGTAATAAAATGTTTGAAGACAAAGAAAGATTATAAAAATTAAAATAACCTTCTGATTTAGCAATTATTATACATCACACTCGTATCTCGTGTATTAATCAAATTATAAATATGAGTATAATAATGTACAATCGCAAAAACGTCATATTATATTGATATTGTCAAATCCGTCGATATAAGATGACTAACTGCAAACCGCGTATGAAGTACGGTAATACGATGAAGTAGAATAATATTAATAGAAAATAATACGACCTTTCGAAACTTTGTATTTGTGAAAAGAATTTGCCTTGTCATGATATTACAGTTTTCCATTCGGTGCACTCAAACTTCACCTAGTGTAGGGCAATGGCGCCATCACTCCGCAACTGTGCTATTCCACAAGAACAGATTAGAGAACTGTGGAGAGGCGGTGTGTGTACTGACTCGTACAGTCATACCATAAATAGATTGTGATATTTATTATATTGTATAGACCCTGTACTACAGAGCTACTGTCCTCCACATTTGTTTGCTTCTCGAAAACTAAAAGAAACATCAATACGAGCCTTTCCGCCGACATAACGATACGTCAGCAATAATTCATTTTATGTTATTTATATACTTGGAATAGATGCACTACTTTCTAAAAGTTGGAACTTATTAGTCAAAAATGCTGACGAGATTGAATAAGCGTAAACTGTAATATGAATATTGTTATTTAATTAATTTATAACAAGCAGAACCTGATAAAATACGAGTCCATTGTCGTTACATCGAAGGTCCTTAATTACTTTCATTATTGCACAGCGTATTTCAATATACATCACTGCCGTTTGTATATCTAATTTATATCTAACATCAAAACGGTCCAGACAAATTCTCCGTGCAAAGTAGGTAGCTGGAAGTGCGTCGTCGTCCCAATACCCCTTGTACGTAATAAGCGCATCTTTTCACTGGGCGCCGTACAGTTTAAGAGGAACACGCTATCTGCTCTGAGTGCTTACTCGTTGCGTCACTGCGACGAATGGAAAACACAATGAGGATCCTAGTCGGGGCGTAGCGAAGCACCACAACGAAGAGTGATCGCTTGAGGGATGGACGAGATCTTGCGACGCCGCACGGCCCGGCCCGTCGCCGACTCCAACAGGGGTAGGCCCCCCGGGGGTCCCCGCAGACGGGAGCGAATCAAGTGGGAGGCGGCAAAGAGGATCTCCCACGGGGACGGGAGCGAGGCGAGGAGGGAAGGGGAGGGGCGGGATCAGCAGGAGGGGGGGCGGGGAGGCGCGAGCGGCGGCGGCGCGGGGCGTGCAGGAGGCGCTCTCGGTTGCAGGCGCGGGCCCCCTGGGCTCGCTGGGCGCGCTGGGCGGCCTGGGCCAGCTGGGCGGCGGCTCCCTGCACGACGACAAGACGCACGCGCCGCACGCCCCCATGCACCAGCAGCCCGGCCAGCAGGCGCAGCAGCAGGCGCAACAGTCCCCGCGCGCTCAGCTGCGCGCGCAGAAGTCGCTGGACGGCCGGCCGCTCAGCGAGCTCGGCTCCTCCCTCGGCTCCGCCAAGTCACGAGGTGCGTGCGCGTGGGGGAGCAGTCCCGCCGGGCTGCTTGCTCGAAGGCGAGTCCACTGCTGATTGCATGCCCACTCATTTCAAAGTGCGCGGGGCCGTTCAACTCCCTTAACTCAATTCATTCATATCACCGATATTTTCATCCCCTTCACCTTTCCTGTCACGCGAGGTTTGGTAATCCAAACGTCAATTACCTTACTTTTTTGATCACTCGCATTTCGCCGTAAGTTTCGTGACAGCGAAATTTCACTGTCAAAAAGGTCTGATGTTTCCCCCGTTTGAGAAACGTCTTTAACATCGTATACCGCAAGAGCAATCTAAGATTGTTGATATTTTTAACAGTAAAACAGTCTAAGAAAAATCGTCTAGAATATCCATTTTCATGTGCGTGTTGGAACTACGCTCTGAATCGCACGATATTACTAGAATTCACACCTGTAGGAAATTTTGCCATCGTTTTTCTACACGTGTTTACACAAAATTTCCCTTGTTGAGGCTAGTATTTTACTATATTAGTGATGTTCAAAGAACATTAATAGGTCTCATTCCAATAATTTCTGCAAATGAAATGAATGCAAATACATTAGACAGATATGTAATACATTTGTGCAAAGATTACTCTTTAATGAAGCTTTAAACATTCCAGGGAAAAAATTTAAATGTGTGCAATATCTAAAAGGTTTTCTATGTGAGATCATCTCCAGAGCTCTATAAAAATGTAGTTTCGAAATCTTCACTGAAGCATCACTCCATTTCACGCTGTTCTGTCCATTTTGATAGAACGTGCATAAACGCCGGAGCTCAACGATCGATTTCGCGCAGATAGACAACGGTCGAGGACCGTTCGTTGGGCATGCCCGTCCTGCAATCCCCTCTGCGCTCACAAAAGGCAGAGCTACGACGCAATCATCTGCAGAATGCGATTGCGCGGCGATGGCTGAGAACTGGTATCGTTTCTGCTCTTTGGAGCAGATGTTCACTGTAGGAGATTGTTCTTTCTCTTTCGCCGGTGATTTTCCGCAAACGGCAGTTCTGGACACAACTTTTATGGTCAAAACACCTGCTTTATTTTCAACGCTCGCCGTCGAAACTTTTATATTTTATATATCATTTTTTGAATAAGGTATCTTCGAGAATGAAATTCCAATTGTATGAATTATACATCAATGCATTGTAAAACAAATATGATTAACACTGTAAAATGCATTCGTTTTATAAGATTGCAATCAGCACATTTATGAATTGTTTATTATTCGAATTAAATTATTTGTGATTTCATTTGTTATCTGAATGTGAAAGTTTTTTTCTGCCACAATAACTTTAACTGTAACAGATTCCGTATTATACGGAATATTTGCCCTCGCTCTGTGAAGGAAACCACAATTTTCATGTATGTTTCCTTGACCGATAATCATGCAATACGCATTCACAAGACAGTTTATTTGTACCCGACAAGTTCGCTTGAAAAACGTAAATCTAGTATAAAGTTACTATCACTACACAAGTAAAAAATCACTCTTTTCTTTCACTACCTAACTTTTCACTTTCCGTAAGGATTTAAGCAAATTGCAGTAGACACATTTGCTGGTATGGGCATTAATTTGATATATTTTGAGAAGAAAGATCCCAAATGCCAAAAATACCAATTCGCAGTGAGGATGGCGATTTACATTCAATCGTCACATATATAATAATCCAGAAAATCAAGAATTTCCGACACCAAAATACTATTTTTGCGCCAAATTGTTACCATATATATTTGCTTATTTCACCACCTCCGTACTATTTGGAAACTGAATTTTATCACGTTTTCTATAATGCTTCGTCCTCTTGCTCTTAACACCAAAAGGGAGTTCCTATAAAGCGCGTGATAGTATTCAACATCTATGTAAGTGAATCAAACGAAATCTTAAAAGTGCGATAAACATACAAAACGTGGCGTAAATTGTTGAGAACACTGAGACCTGTGGTCCAAAAAGTGCTCTGTATATCGTGCTATTATTTGGAAACTGTACAAAGAAGCAGAGTATGGCTGGGGTTTTAGTGCATTAGGTCAGAAATCTATCATGTGTATTTTGAGTAGTAAAGGTATGAAACCAAGTGAATTCCTTTGTAGAATGACAACGCACTACGGTGATTCATGCCTTACCCTGCTACAGCTGAACAAGTTGAGTAGAATGTTTTTAAAAAATCGTAATCGTAAAAAATCGTAAATGACATTAACAGTTGACGCGCTCGGAATCGCTAACAATCAATCATTAGAACATACTTATAGAGCGCCTTCAGAACGATCGGCTGAGGTAATTTCGAGAGGGCAACGAGCCAAAACCGCTGAGCAACGAATGCGTTACATCCGCAAACTCTTTCCTCTCGCCGTGGCCTTTCGACGCCCCTCCCGGCACCCTGGACACGTGCGCCACGCCCTGAGGAAAAAGCGCCCGTAGCGAGCTGCTGTCGGAAGGAGGCGCCGCCTCAAGGGCCCGCCCTCCGAAATTTAGAAGACGGGGGAACGTAAAAACAGCCTCTTTTCTTGCCTCCTGCCCCATTCTCGCTCGGCATTTGACTGAGCGCCAAGACGGCGAGCGACTTGGCGCGGCGACGCGCTTCCGGCTCGGACGGAAGGGTGGAAGGTCAAGGTGCCTCATCGAGGAGGGATGGCAGGGTCAGCTCTGCCCCGCAGATCACTTGTTAAAACAATATTGCCAAGGAGAAGAGATAAATGTGAGAGAAAAAGTCGAAGGTACCAAACCATTCGCAGACAAAAAAATCTTATTTTTTGAGAACGTAGGCTTGTAACTTCAGATAAAACAGTTCTCAATACTTTCAGTTAACACATATAACACTTATACTTTTCAGTTAACAAAATTGAATAAAATTAGCAAGAATTCCTCACATGTAACGAATCAGCGTAACCTTGATTTTATAAAAATATTTACAGGTTGTGCAATCAAAAACTTGTACTGAATACTATAATTCAGTAAATTACGAGATTTAATCAAATAAAATGTATATAACTTGCGTGAAAATTTTATTCTTCTGAAAAATTTGTTCTCATTACTCGAAAGTACAATTTCAACTTTTTCGTCGTGCGAAATTACATATGGTAGTATGGACTGCTCGTACACGCCTGCCCATCTCTTGCTTATTGATGTTGATTATACTGTAGTAGAGCCTCTAAATATAGGTTGTAATATGTAGTCACTATCGGTAAATTAGTGGCCTTATACGCTAAATTAGTCTCTACAATGCTTTAGAGTCTACAATATCAGTCGCAGATTGCAAAAATCAATTACGAAATTAATGCTGAATATGTCAAAGTCGTAGAGAAAGTACTGGCGCATTCTGGTAATTATTCACTCGTAGAAATTACGACACTAATTCCTACATCGCTCGACTCCTAACCATCAACTCGTGAATAATTGCCATCATTATACGCTCGTTGAATGATATACTATTTTTCTTTGCGACAAGATCACGCCCATATACTCTCCCGGAACGCATAGTAGGGGACAAGGGAACCTGCAGTCGCCGGGACAACTCTCTCGCCTCAGCCCCAGGCAGCTCTCCGCGAACGGGGTAATAGATGCAATGTTGATGTTTCGGAATTGGCGCTGTTGTATTTGGGAAGAAAACACTTTTCGTGCGGTGTTTATTTGCTCCGGGCGAAGCTCTGACTCTAGAGATAACCATCACCCCCCACCAGCACTGGCAGGGATGGTGGCTGTTGCTGGAACGGCTGCGGCGCTCGATCAGCCTGCCTACACTTTGACCCTCTCTCCTCGTTTTTCAGTTCCTCCCCGTCTCTTCACGCCTCGCCCAGCCTCTTCCCGCCTCCCCCCGCTTCTTTCCGTCACTCCCCGACTCTTCCCACCTCGTTGCTTTCCGCCCCGTTCCTCCCCACGTCGCCTCGACTCACTCCGGCTCCACCCAGCTCCCCCCACTCCGCTCCGCCCGTTTCTTGCCGCCTCGCCCCGCGACCAGGGAGGAAGAGGGAAACGGAGAGAGAAGGAGCAGACTGGCAGCACAGCGCAGGTGTTTGTCGCGTACTCTCAAATGAGTTCCGGAAATATTTCCTACTTTCATCTCGTTTCTCAACTTCCCTTCATTTCCCTTATGTTCAATACTGCTGGCAGCAACTCATTCGCACTTCGGTATATGGAATTCACTGCTAGTCACTGCGCTGCGACGTTGTTGCAATAGAACGTCTTACATTTCATTCATGGGGAATATAGTATAATAGTTGGACCTGTTCCAACATTCCACGCTGTTCAATTATTTGTAATACAACAGAAAACGTCATTTTGGAACCCAACGTCGAACTTTTCTGACAACTCGGGCGAGTAAAAGTATTTTCAAAATGTAATTTAGATCCATAATGGTCACATTTTGTAACTTAAGGAACAAGAATCATAATGGGCTTAACAATATAATTCGAAAGGTCTAAAACGCACTGTTTCTGAGTTATCCGCAATGGCAGTATGTGAAGTATGGTAACACGTGAAGAACATTTACGCGGTTTTGTATCGATTGTTGTTTCTAGTTGATGCAAAATAGGTTAACTTTCCTTAGCTTATTACTTATAAACGGGATATCTACGTCCAATAGATTTTTCTTCTTGCTATTCTTTAACATCCAATTGTTCTACTAACGTTTCTAATATTTTTCTTTATATGTTTTTTCGACTAATGACAAATAATTTCTGTAATATTTTTCAGTATAATGTGTCAATATTTTATCAAAATAGGTAAATATACAGGCGTCCCATTACCTATGGGGCACCCCCATAACTTTTAAACGGTTTTCGATATTGAAGTGCAGTTTTCGCTCAAGAGTGCGGGATCACGGGGCAAGTAATATGCCGTAAAGGTATTGTTTGAAATATCTTCATTTTTTTAGAAATCTTATCATCTTTGATTTCTTAAGTAAAACTACATATTTTTTCTTATCAGCAATGGATAGATCGTAAGAAGAGGAATACAATTATGTATCATAT